TTGTTTTTTATTGAAAGAAATTGATTTGTAAAAAAATTTTATTGCCTGATTTATTTTTTTATTGTCACTTCTTTGAATCATTGTCATATTTGTCCTTAAAATGACAAAATTTCCATTTAGCTTTACATTTTGGTCCATCTAATCGTGTCATTTTTAAATATTAAATAACCAGTACTTTTGCAGACTTTACACCAAATACTTTTCTACTCCTACTTGAGTAAATTCTTGGACGGCTACTTTTTACTTTTACTTCAGTTAATATATGTTGTTGAAGTAGTGCTACTTTTCAACAATTTTTTGGTTACTTTGATGATAACAGAGGTGACGGTACGGACTCATTTCAGTGGTGTACGGCGCCCCCTTCAGGCTGCTTCAGCGCATCGACTGAATATTCAGATGTCTATGATTTAAAGCTGCTGCCGATTAAACCGTCAGTTTGATGGAATCCCCGGAGGCTCCGGGGAGCCTCTTAGTCCTGATTGGTCCTCCAGACATCTGGATACAGGCGCCCTCTACAGGCAGCTGCTGGAACAACAAAACCAGAGCATCATTGTTCAATGATTGTTTGCTATGTTTCATATATGCATAAACTCAATAAATATATTGTAAAAAAAAAAAAAAAAAAACATAATAAATTTAGTGGTTTTCAGCTGATGTTAAATTCAAAATATTTAAATAGTGTGGTTTCTAAATATTTTCTTTTTTGGTTTTGCACTCCTGTAAGATTAAAATCAGTAGCCATAACAACACTGGTATAGTTAGCGATAGTTTTTTCCCATTAATGACTGTTTGTATTTATTTCAGTTAACAAAAATGTTTTCTCAGTTTCACTTTTCGTTACTTACTTTCAGCTGGCTATAATAACTTTGGTTCCAACCTGTTCTTTCTTCTGTAGGAGAAGTTTCCCTCCATCGTGTCTCTTCCTGAAGGCTGCGGCTCAGAGGTCATGACCTTGAATCATCCCGAGCTTCCAGGGTAGAAATCCTCTCATCCTGGCAGAAAACCTCCAGACCCAGAGCCGGTCCGCCTCTGAACTCATCTCCGTTTCTGTTTGCAGCTGCTGCTTCTTCATTTACTGGTGCGTGGATGTTTCCACAGGGGGCGCTGTCACTCCCAAGATCCAGCTGCTGTCAAAGATCCCAGAGAAAGGTGAGAACCACAGGTGATAGGATGTCTACCTGAAGTGCAGATGTCATCGTCAGCCCTGAGTTTTGACTGCAGGCTCCTCTAGCTGCTAACATCGTGGTTCGTTTTGTTTCTGTCCAGTTTCAACTTTAAATTAAAGGCTCAAAATAAATAATCAGAGATTAGTTCTTCTTAACGTGAAATTAATCTGTGACTTACAGATACATTTTGCAGAAATGAGGTCAACGTCATGAATAATCTTGCTGATGAAGCCGCTTCCTACTGACATTCCTAGTTCTTGATTATATTTGCAGTCAGTGTGGAAGGAGGGAAAGTTATTTTTGCGACACCTTAGAACCATGGATCCTGTCATTGGCTTTCTTTAAAACATTATTTATTGTATTTTATGCTTTTATTGTCATTTTGTGGCACTTTGACATTATTATTATTATTTCTCTGAGGTGTGTTTTGTATTTAACGAGTAATTATTTAACGTTTAAAAAATTAACCGTAGTTTTGACAGAGGAAGTTTTAAATGCATCAAAACATTTGAACTTGTACTCTGATTTTTATTTAGCTAAGAAATATCCTTTATGGACTAAAAAATGGAAGGAGTTTTTAGTTTTATACATTCAAAGTCTCTTTTATTGGTGCGTTTCTAAAAGCAACAGGATAGGAACAGTTTCTAGATGCTGATTGTTGTTTGTTTGTGTGCAGCTCTGCAGCTGTTCCCCAGTCACCCAGCAGGGGGCGGCGCTGCTGGGGCTTTTCAGAGCCTGCTGAGGATTCTGGGAACTGAAGCCGCCATTGAGTCCATCATCAGAGCCGTTAGCCTCTCAGAGAGCGACGAACTCAGCAATTAGCAGCTCCAGAGGTTCTGCTGGACCTCTGCTGATCCTGAACCAGAACTTTATTCCCTATTCTGGACGAGACAAATGCACAAGAAGCAGACAAACCAGCAGAACTCTTTGGTCCAAATGTACAAAAATAAAATAAATGATTTCAATAGAAAACACCAGACAGCTGTTTGGATACTCAAAAAGTTTATTTTGCTTTGATTTCCACACCAAGGTTTTAGAAGTCTGCAGGAATCACATAGCTGATGACCTATGACCCTCAGGGTGTGGTGGGCATCATGGGAAATGGCCACGGTTGCACTTAAATTACAACTAATCCTAATTTTTAGACAAATTTAGATCCTTATTCAAAATGAGTTTAAAAAGTTCCTATATAAGGAACCAGCAGATTTAATCGAGTTATAATTTGTAGCTTGCTTCCACTCTACAAGGACATGAAATTTGCTAACTTCTTCCAAATGTTGAGAAGTGTTTGCACCAGGGTTATAATAGTTCAAGATTTTTCATTTTAGTTTCATTTTAGGTATTTTGTTGTGACTTTTTGTTTGTATATAGTTAGTTTTCATTTGTTTTCAGAGTGTTTGCTAATTTCTATTAGTTATTAAATATAGCTTAGTTTTAGATTAGTATTTATTAGTTTATAGTAGTAGTTTCTTTTGGGGGGGGGGGTCATACTAAAGTCTAAGACAGACTCCCATTCTGGAATGGATTATGAGACCAACTATGGAATGGTGATGCGTTCAATGCCTCCAGAGATAATAAAAAGATTAAATTTTCCTGTATGTTAAATCCTCCACTTATCTAGTTATATAACTAATAGATTTAGAAAAAGTCTCTCTTTTCATCTGAATACGAGCTCGGTACCATGTTAGCATTAGCATTGTTAGCATAACAACACTTAGTTGACTGTCACCTAGCAACAGTTGGTGAGCAGTTGAAAAAGGTAAGCTGCCTGAAACAAAACTCAGAACTCCTCAGTTAGAGTTGAATGAACAGATGAATTTATGAGAGAGAGATATGTGGAGACAGCAGAGGAGAAGCCACTGAAGCTTTGAGTCCGCAACATTTTAATTTAATAATTGTTACAAGGTAACTCGTTAGCGGTATTGCTACACAACCTTTAGAAAAAAAAAACACATAAGTTCCAAAACCGTCTCCTAGCAACGGCGGAGTGATACTGACCGCAACCGCGTCAAACTGCAACAGAACTAGTAAATAACACACACCAAAAAAAATCACACAAAACAGTATTAATTTACATCGACTGTTTCATCAAAATGGCCTGTGTGCCACATGTTTTTCTTTGCTGAGGAAAACAGGCAGGCGCTCTAATACCACCTAGTGTATATCTGTGTACATTCCTAAAATATTGAGGTGAAAATTTTCACAAATAACCAGCAAATTTTCCATCAACAAACTCTGTGACCTCCCTGCCCTGTTTTCTGTAAAATCAGAAGCACAGCAGGTCACTTATGTTGGTTCTTTTTTCTTGAGTAAAAACCACCAACTTTCAACAGTCGGCAGCTTCCATCCCATCTAACTGACAAAAACAGTTCTGGTTTGAAAGAATGTGGCACCAGGTTTCAGGATTAGAAACATGTATACATGAGTTTATAAACTCAGGTTTTCAAAAAAGCTTCCACTGGTTTTGAAATAAACATAATTCTAAAAGTTATTTTTTACGTTCTCAACACCTGAAAGGTGCTGAGAACCTGGAGCTCCAACTGCTGCTTTTATTCTGCATCCATCAGCTGAAATAATACTGACTCTCCATCGGCTAGTCCGAGGTAATGTACAAGTTTATCCTGATAGACTGAAACCATAAAGATTAACAAGACAAACACATAACTCATATATATTGTTCACATGTATATTTGAGTTTATTGGACTCTAAATGTCAGATATTGTGGTTTATTCTCAGACAAAACATCATGACTCAGTTTTACATCTGAAAACTCCACAGCTGTAACAGAAAATCAGCTAAAATCTCCTGGAAGGAGAACAGTCTCTTTACATGTTCATGGATCTGCAGGAGCTCTGCATGGCCCACCGCATGTTTTCATGTTCACTGAGGCTTTTATTTCCTCCACAGCATGAAAGAGATCAGAACAAACACCAGTTCATGTAGAAAACAGAGTTTAGATCAATATGAAGTTTATAAAACTGGCTCTAGTTTCTGCAGTTAAAGTTGTGGATAAAAAATGTTTAAGGTTAATGAGGAATAGGTTTGGATTTGTCGTTTTAAAATATGTTAATGAGAAAAGCAACGATTATTTAGCTTATTATGAAATGTTTAATAAAATCCAACAGTTTATAAATTAGAAAGTCCAAAACTTTGGTCCTGATTCTGATGGAAATGGAGGAAATCCTGCATTTATTTTCAGAACAGGAAAAAAAACAGTTTGTTAGAAGGAGGAAAACTTTCTGACTGAATCTCTAACAATCTCATTTATTCAAAAATCATGTTTTCTTTGATTGGAACTTGATTCAGCCAACAGGAAGAGGTTTTAATTGGACTTTCAAAATAAAAGTTTTGTATTAAGATTTTTTGTTTTTAAGAAACTGTCTAGTTTTTTCCAGCATGTTTTCCACAGAAATCAGCAGCAAACAGCAGCAGTAATGGAAACAATATGTCAGGCCTGAGTGAGGAGATTTTTAGGAAAACGGAAACAAAAATCTACATTTGGTTCTAGAAAAAAAGATCAGATTAGCTTCTGAGATATAAGGAAAAACCTGAAGACAAGTATGACCTGATGCATCAAATCCCTTTTTAATATCTGAAGACTGAATAATTCTGTGGAGCAGCTGACGTTGCAGTACTTCCTGTCTCCATGCAGGATCTGTTGTCCTTCAAAAGTCTGAGTCGTCTGGCGGACTAGAGAGGGACTTGAGGCGGGTTGTTCCTCCTGACCCGAGCCTTCCGGTTCTCATGTTTCAGCTTCAGACGTTTCTCCTGCTTACGTTTCTCCCGGTACCACAGTTTCTCGCAGTACTCGTCCACGCTCTGACTGCTGCTCCCCACCATCTGCAGGTTTTTGTAGCTCCTCAGAGGAGACGGCCATGAGTTCCTGTGTGGCGGCAGAGGAGCGGCCTCAGACTGACCCAGAAACCCGGCGGCTCCTCCTCCGGCCGGGCCGGTCCTCAGCAGGATCAGGAGGTCCGGCGGGTTGGGACTGAGGTTCTGCAGGTAGCGGGCCAGATGCAGGCTGCGGTTGGGGATGATGTGCACTCGGTACCGGCCCAGGACCTGGCTGTAGGAGTGGTCCTGACTGGTGCAGGTGTACAGGCCGGCGTCAGTCAGCTCCAGGTGTTGAGCCAGCAACCCTCTCTTCATGCTCAGGAAGCGGTCGTCATCACCGAGAGGGAGCTGAGAGGACCAGACCAGAGGAAGATGTTAGAGTCCAGCTCATTCCACCTTCATGGTGTTTATTACAAACTGTAGGTGAGCTGGACAGGCGTCTCTCAAAGAGGACAAAGGTGTTGAAGGACTGACTACAGGAGGCTGGCAAAACTATCTGATTCAATATGCACTGGCTTCACCCACCCCTGTTACCAGGAAGAGGAGTTATTTCAGGGAGGGAACCCTGATGCCATGGGGACGACATACCAAGGACTAATGGTGCGTTCACACCAAACATGTTATGTGTCCGATGCTTCAAGCTCAACATGTCTGCACTTTGAATGCAGACGCTAGACATTTTGCTCTACACCTAACGTTTTGCACATTCAAAGTCTACGTGGAGGCGCGTCGAGGGCAACATGGTCTTGTTTCACCATATTCCAAATTATTAAATTACCTGTCAGCACAGACTGATCATGAATTTATTTTGGATATTTTAAAATGGCTTTTATTGAATTTCTAAACCACTAAACTACAATCCTTCATTTTAAAGAAAGCTTTGGATCATAACGGCAACATCATTTGATGTTTGAGGAAATCATCTGCAGAAAAAGAGGCTCATCAAACCAGAGCTAATGTGTTGGAGGAGCCGTGGTGGAAGCAGGTAAACGTGTGTCAAAGGTCAGACCTGAGGTGTTGAACTACACACCTGACTGACAGCGTTCTGCTGGCTCTCTGAGCGCTGTACCGTCCAGCGGAGCTCAGCCTGCAGCGACCGAGGAACACACTCCAGGAACGTGGAGTTTCCCTCAACCCCATACACCACCTTCACCTCCACTGAGTCGGAGTCTGACAGGAAAACAGCAAATGAGATGCAGAACATGAAATGTGTTGATCTGAATTTTCCAGTTATCGGAAACCCTACAGGAGTTTTAGATGAAAAAAAAGAAGAAGATATTTTTCACTTAAATCAAATTCAGTTCAGTTTATTCCCATTGTGCCAATTCAAAATAAATGTTATCTCAAGGAAAATTACAAAAGAAATCCTTTCAAATCAATCATATACACATTTCATTTGATCCTAGTTATCAAACAGTACACTCAATTTATTATTTAAACTACGTAATTAAAAAAGTTTCTATCCAAGACGAGGTAGAAAAATTGCTTGCATCGTGTTGTTGACTTTACAGCAATGCTTCATACTGAGCATGCATGTAGCAACAGTGGAGAGGAAAACTCCCTTTTAACAGGAAAAAACCTCCAACACAATCGGGTACAAGCGACCATCTGCCAACTCCGACTGGAGGTTTGAGAAAACAGCAGAATGCACAAAAAGAAACAAAAGAACTGATTTTGATGTTCATGAAAGTAAAAATGTAATAGCAGAAGAGGGAGAATGATTAGGTAACAGCAGAATTCAGGCGTCGCCCTCAATCCGGAAGGAATCACAGCCAGACAAGACGTAATTACTACAGAGGGGAAAACACTAACAAACAGAAATAGGTGAAATAACCGCAAAAGCAGAAACAAACTGATGTATCAGAAAAAGCTGATATACTGACCCAAGTCAAGTTCTCATGATTTACCATCCTGCAACTTTTAATAGACCAGGGGAAACATCTGGGCAACCTGGCCTTCAACATCTGGAGCAACACGAAGGACATGGTGACCTACACTGCTCTGGTTCTGGACCCAAACACGGCTGGTTCAGAACTGTCTAAAGATCTGACCAGTTTGACTACTAACAGCAGCTTCCTAATAATCCAGAGAGATTTGATTACTTTTGTTCTGTCCTGAGCTTTAGGGTTTTAACTCAGGGATCCACGGC